GAGTTTTGTTTTGAAGTAGCCTACGACTTAGTTTTGTTATTTAACTACTTTCTATTTTTGGAAGTACGACTTTATTTTTGTTATTAAACTACATTCTATTTTTGGACAACTGTCTCCGAGTCCTGCTTTTGGGTCCTGTCCTGTGTCTCAGTTCACAACATTATGTTGTTATACAAAAAAATTGGTGGACTGGTAGAAAATTGGCAGGATTTGCTATTCTAGATTTACAAAGAAAATTAACAATGGGGGGTGGGGGACATGCAAATGAAAGCTTGGAGTAGTTTTGAATCAGTAAACACATAGTAAACATTTCTAAAGCAATATTTTCTCAATCCTCCAGAGGCCTGTACTACGAAGCGGGATTTTCGCTTAGCTAGGTAACTTCAGGGCAAACTCTGGGTTTCCGGTCCTACGACGCTGGTTCACTTCTCAGTGGGCTATCTCCATGGTAACTTATGCTGAACTGCTAGCCTGGGGCCTATACATCGAATCTAGCTCAACATATCCTGGATATGTTTTGAGTTATCCGGTTGACTTAATCCAAAACAAACCCACTCTCGCTAAACTGTCCTACGACGCTGGCTATCAACTCGATCGCTCAAGCCAGCCATGTCCTATCTAGTTCACATAAAATGGGTGGTATCTGGAGCATTCGACCTATCACAAACACGGAGAAGCGTACTGGCAGCGCAGCGTCATACTTCCTGAATGAAAAGTCAACTATAATATTAGTCAACAGTTAACAAGCTAAACTGCAGCCTATATGTGTTTGGTTCAAACAGACTTAAAGCAGGAAGCTGATTAAATAATCATCGTTTTGAAATAAATAAGGATGTGTGGTGGTAGCAGAGGTGTTGCAAGTATTAAGAAAATACCATTTAAAATCTAAATGATGTATTAAATATTAAAAATGTAATTTGATCAATGGAATGCTGTAAATGCAAATTACCCTCGCTGACCTTCACACCCTTAACGTCCACCATGTTAAACCTGGACCTAGTGCATCTCTGACCATGTCCTTTGTATTTGAAGACATCATGCATATACTATGAAGACATTTATTTTACAATGTTATTAATGCTTCTCTCTAAACTGTTGCCCCATTTTTCGATTTATGGAGTTGTTAGTGCTAAATAGTTATACTTAATGACATGCATTAAAGCACGGACTCATCAGAGTTTTAATGACCTGTATCTGTCACAGTCTCAATGGCTGCTGTTACTTTTATAGTCAGTGAGAGGAGCTGCCAGTGGGAGAGTTGTTGAGTTATGATTTCAGCCAAACTTCCTGCAGGAGCCACAAGGACAGGAGAGCTTGGGCTGAACTCAGTGAAACTACTAAAAATAAGTTTTGAAAATTAATATCTCCCACTATTTAACCTGTTGACAAGGTTTCATCTGCAGAGAATACAATCAAGACAATAAAAGAAGATTGTCAGCCAACAAGAGTAGATCGATAAGAATTTCAACACCGCTTTCATTTGATGTCTTCTGGGATAGTTGTGAACAATAGCTTATTTAAAAAAAGTTAAAATAGTAATGACACTGAACAGAACAAGTAGTTTCTTACATTAATCATTACTGCTCTTTCAAATATGATTTCTTAAAATAAATGATTGATGAATGTGATTTTTGTCACAGGGAGCCGACCATGTTAGATCCAAATGTAGAAGTTGGGAAGATTTAACAGAGAATACTTAATAATAATACTTTTCTGGTAATCAAGGCATCGCAAAGCAAGTCAGAACAGAACTTCACAACATGTTGAACGACATACAACGAGACCTTGACAAAGAATTCAGGGAAAAGCAGGACTATATAGAATCTGAACTAATGAGGGGGATAAAAAGTAGGTGTGCAGGTTGTCAGGTGGTGTCAGGGCTGATAGGGAACAGGGGAACAGGTAGGAAAACACACAAAGACAGGAAGTAAAAACAGGCATGACACAAGGAGAGTGATCTACAAAATAAAACAGGAAAAACAAATACACCAAGAGCATGATACTAGTGATGGCAAGATGAAGCCTTATGAAGCTTTGAAGCTTTCCAGCCAATTGGTTCGCAAAAGGGTTCATCTCATGAGGCTTCATCATGGGCTTCATTTGAACACAAACCCCCTGTTGGTCAAAGTGTGTAAAACAGGCATATTGGACATCTCAACAGTGTGCTCTATCTCATACCAAGTTCCCAATGAATAAAGCCATAGAATAACTCTAAACAACGAACATTAAATCATATTTTCATTTTAACAATATTGTATTTATTCCAGTTTAATGATTGTGATTGAAGAGCCTAAGGAGGCTGGTAAACATTGCAAAGAGGGATTTGTATTCCTTAATAATATTCGTAAACTTAACCATGTTGTAGCCTGAGAAAGGCTAAACCATATCAAAGAATACATTTATTAACTACATTATCTAATTTAGCTGTAGCTTTTATAAACAACAAAGAAAGACTTATTGACCAGTTGTTGAACCAGGGACCCTGCGGTTATGAGTCAACTGCTTTCCAGCTGAGCCACAGCACACACATTGAATCTCCCTGAAAACACTGCATCAATTTTAACAGGGTGGTTTTGCACTTACGAGAAATCATGATCACAATATTTGACAAATTCTTATTTTATAGGACACATTTGCATTGGAAGGAAAACAAACTGAGCACCACTTAAATACACTTGTCTTTCATATAGTTCTCACCACCTCTTGCCTTGTACTTCTCTGTACCTCATATTCATGAAAGGCTGAAGTTGAACATCTTGTGCATCTGCAATAAATCTTCTGGATGTTTTCTAACTTGAAAATGTTACTAATAATTAAAGAAAAACTGTTTAATTTAATTTGCATTTGCTTGTGTGCCTAATGTTTCTGAGTAGCTGAAGATATGGTGCCATGTCCCCCATGTTTCCAACTTTTGTCGCCCCTTCCCGACTCCGGGTTTCAAGGATGGGACTATTGAGTGTGAGGTGTGTCCAGCGTTTCCCACCAAACCTTTTTATTTTTATTTGTAAGACACCAAGGTACTCAAAGTGCACTGCATTTTGACATGCTTTTCAGAAAGAACGCACTCCCTGTATGCTCTCAAAATAGCAGGATAAAGTGAGGAAGAACACAAATTGAGACAAAGCAGAGGGGAACTTGAAGGGCACTCAGCGTGCCGACCTCTGAGAACAGGGAAAAATGTGTGTTTCCATCCTGTAAATTGAATCCGCTCCAACATGTAATCCTACCTTGGCCAGTGCCTCACTTTTCTACCAAGTTTCATAAAAATCAGGCACAGAAACTGTACCAATTAAACCCTTGGCAGAAGTGTATTTCTTAAAAAGTTCAACAATATGTCTCCTCAAATGCTACATATAAGGACGCTTCTAATTGTCCTTTTCATGTATAGCAGGCTACCATAGTTGTCTTCCATGTGACTGAAAATAAGGGAACCTTCTCCCTCATGAGTCATCCCCTCTTGAGCTTTTGTTGCTACATCTTTATCATTGTGAAAAACGGTCTGTGTTGGAACTAATTATTACTTCTCCTCCCTTGACCGTTAAATGACCGGTTGAAATCACATATTGTATCCCTCATTGTTAAATGTCGCTGCAAGGGACACTCAGTTGCCAGTTTAAACATCAGCACAATTCATCAGTGACAATAACACATTGAAGTAACAACGTGACTTTTTTTATGTGCACTGTAATTGAGTAAATAGACAATTAATGTCCTTTATCCTTACCTTAATCTGTAATCAAGTTTGGCATTTGTGAAGGTCAAATTGAGAGAGAGAGAGAGAGAGAGAGAGAGAGAGAGAGAGAGAGAGAGACTTGTTTCATAAAGTAAAAGTAATGAGATAATCGATCAAAGAGGAGCAGTGAACTCTTGAGGAGCGTGCACTGTCCCCTCATCTGATTGGTCTGGGACATCAAACATGTACAATTGTTATTCATCTCCAAGCCTCCAGGGGGAGACAGAGCTGTGGTGATTTACACAACGTCTGTCTTTCAAATACAGCGACGATAATAATGCTGGTAGTTTTTTCTCGGGAGTCTGCTCATGTGCTTCACCATGGCGAAATGTGAAGTAGGCAGGACTACCACAAAATAGTGTTTTACCTGTCTGTCTGTTTTAGCACGCATTTTAGCACTGCGTTATCATTGCAATTTTGCAAAAAGCCGTCCAAACGAATCAAATGTGTAGTGGAGATCAAAATAAGTTCCAATTTGATGATTTGCATTGTTCAAGCTAAAGGGAGCCAAGGCACCATTGCCCCCCCTTCACGCCATTGGTTCAATACGGCACCTTATAACTTTACAGGTCTGCAATTGAGATGGAAATAAAAACTGAGTTTGTAGATAGGGTGGGGTGTGGCCCAGGCAAGTGGGCCAACATAAGGGGTGTAGGAAATAAGGAAGGGGCCAGGGTGGACCAAGCCCCCAGGAAGTGCTCCTGCCATTGAAGCACATTTCCGTGATGGCCAAATGGTGGAACTACAACTTACACAACAGTCGGTGACGTCATTGGGCCCAAAAAGTAAAACGTTGGGGAAAAGATGTATGTACAGCGGATATTTAAAAATAAATAAAAATCAACTACCAGGTACGAAATGTGTTTGAAGCCCTTAATTAAATCATTAGAGTCTAAAAGTTGACAAATGCGCTAAAAGCCGTCTGCAGAGTTATTTTCCCTCTATTGATTTGACTGAGCCGAAGCTGGCCAGGGCGCAGTGGATTGGAGGACATAAACAAAACAAAAGTGTGCATGCTGTGCTGGTACGGGTACTTTGGCTCCATGAAGTAATGAGCAACTTCAATAGCAATGAACTGGGTCCCGCATCCAATGCTGTATCCAGTTCTCTTTAATCTGTCAAAAATCCAAAAGAAAAGGATGGCAAGAAAGAAAGGTGAAAAATGACTAAAACCACATGCTTCAAAATGAAATTGACAAACCTTTTTGGCAGAAGCGCTGCTACTGCGAGCATGATCAGCAGCATAAGTAAACTACAAGTGTGTGCGTTAGAAGTCCAGCTGAGTAATGAAGTGATTGTTGAGGGTGCGGGTCTGAGTGCAGATGGACGAGATGTGCAGCTTCAGCCTTTCATGATGAGGAGGGACAGACAGCTGAGCGGGTGTACGTTCACCAGGGGCACAGACAAGTACAGGGCAAGAGGTGGTGAGTACTACAGTATATGGAACACAAGTGTACTCAAGTAGCTCCTTTTCAACATATCTGTTCCAGTTAGTATGTGGTGCTCATGTAAGCAAAAAATAAAGCAATTGTTGGAGTAAATGATTTACCTAATGAGGAATTAATTTTATAGATTTTATAAGGGAATGTAATAAAATTGGCTAAATAAACCAGGTTTTTTAATATAACTTCAATTTTAAAGTTTTGCTTTCCATGGCACCAGATGTTGTGGCATCCTTTGTTTTATCATTGACATCATATACTTTTTCAGAGTTTCATAATTACAGTTTCAAATCAAATGCAAAAAAAATCCATTGTATCCCACAACCGTTAAAGAATAAGGCTTGTCATTATTTAAATAGTTTTCAGCAATTCCCTTGAAAATACTTAAGGAAACAATGGATTAATTCTATTAACATGCATTGCCTTTGTATTACAAGCCTGATCCAGTTTATTTTGAATCAATTCCACAAAAACCCTGCCACTGTGAGTACTAGAAGAATAGCAGTATGAAAATCCACTGCTGAAAATGGTGACCAACCAATGCAGGATTTATAACTGTTTGGGGAATGTTGGCTGATTACTGCAAGGTCCAGCTGCTTAAGGACATTTATGTAGTATTTCTGAATCATTTCAAATACAAATGTCTGGATAAATAGGCTTGGTGTCACAAACAGGGTAAGGAAGTCGGAAAGTTTCGAGACAAGTAAGGCATTGTCCGTTTGCTGTATGGGATTTGCCTTATCCTATAAAGCCACAAAACACATAGCAGTCAGGATTAGGAAGAAGGTTTAGGCACTAATAAATGCATTTGTGTGAGACTAGCAGTAAATAAGCTAGTGTTTAAGAGAAGACAAGAAAGAAGTTGCTTCGTACATTTTTTCTGTGATTTTTTGGATCAAGCCTAAATTGGGTCTTTCAGTCAGTTGCAAGAGGGAAATCTATCCAGCGTTTCTTCAGTGAAAGTGGAATAGAGAATGTGTTGACTACTTTTCGAGGCATCATCACTGTTTAACTACAGCTAAAGCGTCCTACATTCAATCACTATCAAATCTTTTGTGGGTGCAAAGTTAAGGTTTCCTAAGGCTAAAGCACTTGACGCCAAACATTCCCATTGTTAAGGAGTTTAAAGTGCACCTATCATGCTATTTGTAGGCAATAGCATTGGTCTCAGATATATAAATATATATAAAAAACATGTCTATGAAGTGTTTTGTTCAAAATACCAAACAGATCACCCATTCTAGCCATGCCTCATGTGCCTCTATTTCACTTCCTGTTTCAAAAGTGCTGATTTTGGGTGTAAAGCTTTAAAAAAAAAAGAGAAATTGATTAAAAAAAAAGGAGGGGGCTGAGCTCATGCGGGAGATTATACCGGCAAATATTGCGGTGATGAAACACCATATCATGGATTATGAGGTGAGTTCCTTTTTATTTCCTGCTTCTTCACACACATGCTCTGTGCCGTACAGGTTAGCTCTGAGTGTTAGCAATGCTAATGTAAAAAGGCACCGACCATATGTGACCCGCTCTATCGAAATCAGTCGGAAGTCGCAACGGCTCATTTCAAAATAAACGTGGATTTGCGTAAAAAAATAGTTTTTCGGGGTTCGGGTGTTTTGTTTGATTTTAAACAAACAAAGTCTTGGCTTTCAGAATGTTACACTTTTATTTCCAAAATCACACGATAAATACATGTTTGAAGCTTGTAAGGGGAAGATGACAGCTCTCACTCGCCACTCTGCTGTTCCGCAGTGCCGCCCCCCCGCCCTCCGGCTGACATTATGAATGCAAGGCGTATAGTGATCATAGATAACACGGCAGGTTCCGTTACAGTTTGTTTTCATCTGATTTCAAATAAACAAAGTCTTGGCTTTCAAAATATTAAAGGTTTCGGCAAATTCAGATCATAAATACAACTTTGAAGCTTGTAACGGCATAATTACAAGCGGAGAACGGAGTAACTTGCTGTCACAGCAGGCATAACAACAGCCGGTGTTTCTCGTGAGTGTTTTCCCCGGGAAACAAACACAATACACACAAACGCAAAATTACACAAACAGGATTTATCCTTTAACGCCCACATAAAATCAATTTCAAGGACCACCTACTTCCATTTACGTAACATTGCAAAAATCAGGCATATCTTGCCTCAAAACGATGCAGAGAAACTAGTCCATGCATTTGTTACTTCAAGGCTGGATTATTGTAACTCTTTATCAGTGGCGGCGCTAGGAGGTGGCTACTGTAGGTGTGCTGAGGCAAGTTTCTCACCATATTTAGCTGGTTTAATAGATTTTAGTAGAAATCTCCCTTACAATAAAGGCAGTATGCCCGTCTGTCATCTCCAATAAATGGTTTCAACCATCCTTTAAACTCAGGGTTTGATTCCCACTCCTTTCTGTACTTTTGTGATTACAGTTTAGACTGTG